TAGACTCAACACTGCACCATAGACTCAACACTGCCCATAGACTCAACATTGCCCATAGACTCAACACTGCCCATAGACTCAACATTGCCCATAGACTCAACACTACCCATAGACTCAACACTACCCATAGACTCAACACTGCCCATAGACTCAACATTGCCCATTGACTCAACACTGCCCATAGACTCAACATTGCCCATAGACTCAACATTGCCCATAGCCCGTGCCGCACCCGTTTAGCCCCCTCGATCCGGCCGAACAAAATCTGCTTGAGGCGGGCGGTGGCTGGGCATTCGGCCTACATGACCCAGCCAACGCAGCCTTGCCTGCCGGCTCAACAGAGTGCACTCACCACACACACACACACTCACCACACACACACACTCACCACTCACTCACTACACACACACACTCACCACTCACTCACTACCCACAGACACTCACCACACACCCACACTCACCACTCACTCACCACACACTCACTACACACACACACTCACCATACACACACACTCACCACACACACACACACTCACCACCCACACACACTCACCACACACACACACACACTCACCGCACACGCTCACCACACTCAGTACACACACACCCACCACACACACACACACTCACCACACACTCACCACACTCACTACACACACACACTCACCACACACACACACTCACCAGTCACTCACTACACACACACACACTCACCACACACACTCACCACCCACACACACTCACCACCCACACACACTCACCACACACCCACACTCACCACTCACTCACTACACAAACACACACACTCACCACACACACACACTCAACACCCACACACTCAAAACACACTCTCACCACTCACTCACTACACACACACACTCACCACCCACACACACCACACACACACTCACCACCCACACACACACACACCACACACACATACACACTCACCACACATACACACTCACCACCCACACACACTCACCACACACCCACACTCACCACTCACTCACTACACACACACACTCACCACACACACACACTCACCACCCACACACACACACTCACCACATACTCGCACCACTCACTCACTACACCCACACACACACTCACCACACACACACACCACACCCACACACACACTCGCCACACACACACACCACACACACACCACACCCACACACCACTCACTCACTACACCCACACACACTCACCACACACACACTCACCACCCACATACAAACACTCACCACCTACATACACACACTCAACACCCACACACACACTCATCAAACACACTTACCACAACACACACTCACCACACACACTCACTACACAGACACCCACACACACTCACCACACACACACTCACCACACTCACCACACTCACCACACAAACCACACTCACCACACACTCACTCACCACACACACTCACCACACCCACACACTAACCACACCCACACACTCACCACACACACCACACTCACCACACACACACAACACTCACCACACACACTCACTACACACACACACACTCACCACACTCACACACACACCACACACACACACTCACCACACACACTCACCACACACACTCACCACACACACACACACCACACTCACCACACACACACTCACCACACACACGCTCACCACACACACGCTCACCACACACACTCACTCACTACACACACAATAACCACACACACTCACCACACACACACTCACCACACACACCACACACACTCACCACACTCACCACACACTCACTCACCACACACACACACTCACCACACTCACAATCACCACACACACTCACCACACTCACCACACACACTCACCACACTCACCACACACACTCACTCACCACACTCATCTAACACTCACCACACACACTCACCACACACACACCACACTCACACACACTCACGACACTCACCACACACACTTACCACACTCACTACACACACTCACCACACTCACCACACACACTCACCACATACACACTCACCACACAGACACTCACCACACACACTCACCACACACACTCACCACACACACTCACCACATACACACTCACCACACTCACCACACACACACTCACCACAATCACCATCACCACACACACACTCACCACAATCACCATCACCACACACACACCACACACACTCACACTCACCACACACAATCATCACACACACTCACCACATACACACTCACCATACACACTCACCACACACAATCACCACACACACTCACCACATACACACTCACCATACACATCACACACACACTCACCACACTCACCACACACACTCACCACACTCACCACACACACCACACACACACTCACCACTCACCACACACACTCACCACACTCACCACACACACTCACCACACACACTCACCACACACACACTCACAATCACCACACACACTCACCACATACACACTCACCACACACACTCACTACACACACACTCACCACACACTCACCACACACAGTCTCACCACACACACTCACCACGCACACTCACACTCACTACACACACACTCACCACACACACTCACCACACACACACTCACCACACACACACACTCACCACCCACACACACACACTCACCACATACTCGCACCACTCACTCACTACACCCACACACACACTCACCACACACACACACCACACCCACACACACACTCGCCACACACACACACCACACACACACCACACCCACACACCACTCACTCACTACACCCACACACACTCACCACACACACACTCACCACCCACATACAAACACTCACCACCTACATACACACACTCAACACCCACACACACACTCATCAAACACACTTACCACAACACACACTCACCACACACACTCACTACACAGACACCCACACACACTCACCACACACACACTCACCACACTCACCACACTCACCACACAAACCACACTCACCACACACTCACTCACCACACACACTCACCACACCCACACACTAACCACACCCACACACTCACCACACACACCACACTCACCACACACACACAACACTCACCACACACACTCACTACACACACACACACTCACCACACTCACACACACACCACACACACACACTCACCACACACACTCACCACACACACTCACCACACACACACACACCACACTCACCACACACACACTCACCACACACACGCTCACCACACACACGCTCACCACACACACTCACTCACTACACACACAATAACCACACACACTCACCACACACACACTCACCACACACACCACACACACTCACCACACTCACCACACACTCACTCACCACACACACACACTCACCACACTCACAATCACCACACACACTCACCACACTCACCACACACACTCACCACACTCACCACACACACTCACTCACCACACTCATCTAACACTCACCACACACACTCACCACACACACACCACACTCACACACACTCACGACACTCACCACACACACTTACCACACTCACTACACACACTCACCACACTCACCACACACACTCACCACATACACACTCACCACACAGACACTCACCACACACACTCACCACACACACTCACCACACACACTCACCACATACACACTCACCACACTCACCACACACACACTCACCACAATCACCATCACCACACACACACTCACCACAATCACCATCACCACACACACACCACACACACTCACACTCACCACACACAATCATCACACACACTCACCACATACACACTCACCATACACACTCACCACACACAATCACCACACACACTCACCACATACACACTCACCATACACATCACACACACACTCACCACACTCACCACACACACTCACCACACTCACCACACACACCACACACACACTCACCACTCACCACACACACTCACCACACTCACCACACACACTCACCACACACACTCACCACACACACACTCACAATCACCACACACACTCACCACATACACACTCACCACACACACTCACTACACACACACTCACCACACACTCACCACACACAGTCTCACCACACACACTCACCACGCACACTCACACTCACTACACACACACTCACCACACACACTCACCACACACACACTCACCACACACACACACTCACCACACTCGCCACACACACTCACAATCACCACACACACTCACCACATACACTCACAATCACCACACACACTCACCACATACACACTCACCACACACACCACACACACACTCACCACACTCACTACACACACACTCACCACACTCACTACACACACACTCACCACACACACTCACAATCACCACACACACTCACAATCACCACACACACTCACCACATACACACTCACCACACACACTCTCACCACACACTCTCACCACACACACTCTCACCACACACACTCACCACACACACACACTCACCACACACACACCCACCACACACACTCACCACACTCACACTCACCACACTCACAATCTCCACACACACTCACCACACTCACCACACACACTCACCACACTCACCACACACACTCACCACACTCACAACATACACACTCACCACACACACTCACAATCACCACACACACTCACCACACTCACCACACTCACCACACTCACCACATACACACACTCACCACACACACTCACCACACACACACTCACCACACACACTCACCACACTCACCACCCACACTCACCACACTCACCACACACACTCACCACACACACTCACCACACTCACCACACACACACTCACTACACACACTCACCACATACACTCACCACACTCACCACACTCACCACACACACTCACCACACACACACTCACCACACACATCACACTCACCACACACACTCACCACACTCACCACACTCACCACACCACACACACTCACCACACTCACCACACTCACCACACACACTCACCACACTCACCACACACACCACACACACTCTCACCTGCTGTGTACTACAATGGCCGCCTTGGGCATGCCGGTGGTACCGGAGGTGTAGACGTAGAAGAGGCGGTCTGGGGAGGACAACAATCACCACTCAAATAGAGACAGAGACACTCCACTAGAGACAGAGACACTCCACTAGAGACAGAGACACTCCACTAGAGACAGAGACACTCCGCTAGAGACAGACACTCCACTAGAGACAGAGACAGATCACTAGAGACAGAGACAGAGACACTCCACTAGAGACAGAGACACTCCACTAGAGACAGAGACAATCCACTAGAGACAGAGACACTCCGCTAGAGACAGAGACAGATCACTAGAGACAGAGGCAGATCGCTAGAGACACTCCGCTAGAGACAGAGACACTCAGCTAGAGACAGAGACACTCCGCTAGAGACAGAGACACTCCACTAGAGACAGAGACAGAGACACTCCACTAGAGACAGAGACAGATCACTAGAGACAGAGACACTCAGCTAGAGACAGAGACACTCTACTAGAGACAGAGACACTCCGCTAGAGACCGAGACAGAGACACTCCGCTAGAGACAGAGACACTCCGCTAGAGACAGAGACAGATCACTAGAGACAGAGACACTCCACTAGAGACAGAGACAGAGACACTCCGCTAAAGACAGAGACAGAGACACTCCGCTAGAGACAGAGACAGATCACTAGAGACAGAGACAGAGACACTCCACTAGAGACAGAGACACTCAGCTAGAGACAGAGACAGAGACACTCCGCTAGAGACAGAGACACTCCACTAGAGACAGAGACAGAGACACTCCACTAGAGACAGAGACAGATCACTAGAGACAGAGACAGAGACACCCCACTAGAGACAGAGACAGAGACACCCCACTAGAGACAGAGACAGATCACTAGAGACAGAGACACTCCGCTAGAGACAGAGACAGAGACACCCCACTAGAGACAGAGACAGATCACTAGAGACAGAGACACTCCGCTAGAGACAGAGACACTCCGCTAGAGACAGAGACACTCCACTAGAGACAGAGACAGATCACTAGAGACAGAGACACTCCGCTAGAGACAGAGACAGAGACACTCCACTAGAGACAGAGACAGATCACTAGAGACAGAGACACTCAGCTAGAGACAGAGACACTCCGCTAGAGACAGAGACAGAGACACTCCACTAGAGACAGAGACAGATCACTAGAGACAGAGACACTCCACTAGAGACAGAGACAGAGACACCCCACTAGAGACAGAGACAGACACAGATCACTAGAGACAGAGACACTCCACTAGAGACACCCCGCTAGAGACAGAGACACTCCGCTAGAGACAAGAGACAGATCACTAGAGACAGAGACACTCCGCTAGAGACAAGAGACAGATCACTAGAGACAGAGACAGAGACACCCCGATAGAGACAAGAGACAGATCACTAGAGACAGAGACAGAGACACTCAGCTAGAGACAGAGACAGATCACTAGACACAGAGACAGAGACACCCCGATAGAGACAGAGACACTCCACTAGAGACAGAGACAGAGACACTCAGCTAGAGACAGAGACAGATCACTAGACACAGAGACAGAGACACCCCGATAGAGACAAGAGACAGATCACTAGAGACAGAGACAGAGACACTCAGCTAGAGACAGAGACAGAGACACTCAGCTAGAGACAGAGACAGATCACTAGACACAGAGACAGAGACACCCCGATAGAGACAAGAGACAGATCACTAGAGACAGAGACAGAGACACTCAGCTAGAGACAGAGACAGAGACACTCAGCTAGAGACAGAGACAGATCACTAGAGACAGAGACAGAGACACCCCGATAGAGACAGAGACACTCCACTAGAGACAGAGACACTCCACTAGAGACAGAGACACCCCGATAGAGACAGAGACAGATCACTAGAGACAGAGACAGAGACACTCCACTAGAGACAGAGACACTCCACTAGAGACAGAGACAGAGACACTCCACTAGAGACAGAGACACTCCGCTAGAGATAGAGACACTCCACTAGAGACAGAGACAGAGACACTCCGCTAGAGACAGAGACACCCCGATAGAGACAGAGACACTCCGCTAGAGACAGAGACAGAGACACTCCACTAGAGACAGAGACACTCAGCTAGAGACAGAGATACTCCGCTAGAGACAGAGACAGAGATACTCCGCTAGAGACACTCCGCTAGAGACAGAGACACTCCGCTAGAGACAGAGACACTCCGCTAGAGACAGAGACACTCCACTAGAGACAGAGACACTCAGCTAGAGACAGAGACACTCCGCTAGAGACAGAGACAGAGACACTCCACTAGAGACAGAGACAAAGACAGAGACACTCCACTAGAGACAGAGACAGAGACACTCCACTAGAGACAGAGACAGAGACAGATCACTAGAGACAAAGACACTCTACTAGAGACAGAGACACTCTACTAGAGACAGAGACACTCTACTAGAGACAGAGACACTCCACTAGAGACAGAGACACTCCGCTAAAGACAGAGACACCCCGATAGAGACAGAGACACTCAGCTAGAGACAGAGACACTCCACTAGAGACAGAGACACTCAGCTAGAGACAGAGACACTCCGCTAAAGACAGAGACACCCCGATAGAGACAGAGACACTCCACTAGAGACAGAGACACTCAGCTAGAGACAGAGACACTCCGCTAGAGACAGAGACACTCCACTAGAGACAGAGACACTCCGCTAGAGACAGAGACACTCCGCTAGAGACAGAGACACTCCGCTAGAGACAGAGACACTCCACTAGAGACAGAGACACTCCGCTAGAGACAGAGACACCCCGATAGAGACAGAGACACTCCACTAGAGACAGAGACAAAGACAGAGACACTCCACTAGAGACAGAGACAAAGACAGAGACACTCCACTAGAGACAGAGACAGAGACACTCCACTAGAGACAGAGACAGAGACAGATCACTAGAGACAAAGACACTCTACTAGAGACAGAGACACTCTACTAGAGACAGAGACACTCTACTAGAGACAGAGACACTCCACTAGAGACAGAGACACTCAGCTAGAGACAGAGACACTCCGCTAAAGACAGAGACACCCCGATAGAGACAGAGACACTCCACTAGAGACAGAGACACTCAGCTAGAGACAGAGACACTCCGCTAGAGACAGAGACACTCCACTAGAGACAGAGACACTCCGCTAGAGACAGAGACACTCCACTACAGACAGAGACAAAGACAGAGACACTCCACTAGAGACAGAGACAGAGACACTCCACTAGAGACAGAGACACTCCACTAGAGACAGAGACAGAGACACTCCACTAGAGACAGAGACAGAGACAGATCACTAGAGACAGAGACAGATCACTAGAGACAAAGACACTCTACTAGAGACAGAGACACTCTACTAGAGACAGAGACACTCCACTAGAGACAGAGACAGAGACAGATCACTAGAGACAAAGACACTCTACTAGAGACAGAGACACTCTACTAGAGACAGAGACACTCCACTAGAGACAGAGACACTCAGCTAGAGACAGAGACACTCCGCTAGAGACAGAGACACCCCGCTAGAGACAGAGACACTCCGCTAGAGACAGAGACACTCCGCTAGAGACAGAAACACTCCGCTAGAGACAGAGACAGATCACTAGAGACAGAGACACCCCGCTAGAGACAGAGACACTCCGCTAGAGACAGAGACACTCCGCTAGAGACAGAGACACTCCGCTAGAGACAGAGACAGAGACAGATCACTAGAGACAAAGACACTCTACTAGAGACAGAGACACTCCGCTAGAGACAGAGACAGATCACTAGAGACAGAGACACTCAGCTAGAGACAAAGACACTCCACTAGAGACAGAGACACTCCGCTAGAGACAAGAGACAGATCACTAGAGACAGATCACTAGAGACAGAGACGCTCCACTAGAGACAGAGACACTCCGCTAGAGACAGAGACACTCCGCTAGAGACAGAAACACTCCGCTAGAGACAGAGACAGATCACTAGAGACAGAGACAGAGACACTCCGCTAGAGACAGAGACACTCCACTAGAGACAGAGACACTCCACTAGAGACAGAGACACTCAGCTAGAGACAGAGACAGAGACACTCAGCTAGAGACAGAGACACCCCGCTAGAGACAGAGACACTCCGCTAGAGACAGAGACACTCCGCTAGAGACAGAGACACCCCACTAGAGACAGAGACACTCCGCTAGAGACAGAGACACTCCGCTAGAGACAGAGACACTCCGCTAGAGACAGAGACACTCCGCTAGAGACAGAGACACTCCACTAGAGACAGAGACACCCCACTAGAGACAGAGACACCACGATAGAGACAGAGACACCCCACTAGAGACACTCCACTAGAGACAGAGACACCCCGCTAGAGACAGAGACAGAGACACCCCGCTAGAGACAGAGACAGAGACACCCCGCGGTGCGTCACCAGAGAATCCACGTCCCTGCGCCCGTGGGAATTCGTGTGTGGGCGCGGCTGTGAGCAGCGTGTCGAACGGCAGCGCCCCGTGCGGGGTCGGCTCCGTGCCCGTCTCTCCGCTGCACAACAGCAGCAGGTCCTTGCCCAGCGAGCCACGGATCTCTTCGAAGGCTGCCTCGGGACAAAGACGAGCCTTCATCCACGGGATCCCTCATACAGCGACACTACGTCGCCCCGGGTGGAGGGTGGAGGGTGGAGAGCGGGCGAGCGGGCGAGTGGGCGAGTGGGCGGGTGGGCGGGTGGGCGAGTGGGCGACTGGGCGGGTGGGCGAGTGGGCGAGTGGGCGACTGGGCGAGTGGGCGAGCGGGCAAGTGAGTGACTGGGCGAGTGGGCGAGTGGGCGACTGGGCGAGTGGGCGACTGGGCGACTGGGCGAGTGGGCGAGTTGGCTGGTGGGCGGGTGGGCGAGTGGGCGAGTGGGCGAGTGGGCGACTGGGCGACTGGGCGAGTGGGCGAGTGGGCGACTGGGTGAGTGGACGAGTGGGCGAGTGGGCGGGTGGGCGACTGGGCGACTGGGCGAGTGGGCGAGTGGGCGACTGGGCGAGTGGACGAGTGGGCGGGTGGGCGAGTGGACGAGTGGGCGAGTGGGCGACTGGGCGAGTGGGCGGGTGGGCGGGTGGGCGAGTGGGCGACTGGGCGAGTGGGCGGGTGGGCGGGTGGGCGGGTGGGCGAGTGGGCGAGTGGGCGAGTGGGCGAGTGGGCGACTGGGCGAGTGGGCGGGTGGGCGGGTGGGCGGGTGGGCGGGTGGGCGAGTGGGCGAGTGGGCGAGTGGGCGAGTGGGCGACTGGGCGAGTGGGCGGGTGGGCGGGTGGGCGAGTGGGCGACTGGGCGAGTGGGCGGGTGGGCGAGTGGGCGAGCGGGCGAGTGGGCGAGTGGGCGACTGGGCGAGTGGGCGAGTGGGCGGGTGGGCGAGTGGGCAGGTGGGCGAGTGGGCGGGTGGGCGAGTGGGCGGGTGGGCGAGTGGAGCGTCAGAGATTACACGGCGGCGTGGAAGCTTGAAGCGTCGGGAACACGGCACGTGTTGTGTTGTGTAGTGTGTGTGTAGTGTAGTGTTGTGTGTAGTGTAGTGTGTGTAGTGTGTGTGTGTAGTGGTGTGTGTGTGTGTAGTGTTGTGTGTGTGTGTAGTGGTGTGTGTGTAGTGTAGTGTGTGTGTAGTGTTGTGTTGTGTAGTGTGTGTAGTGTAGTGTGTGTGTAGTGTTGTGTGTAGTGTTGTGTGTGTGTGTAGTGTTGTGTGTGTGTAGTGTAGTGTGTGTAGTGTAGTGTGTGTAGTGGTGTGTGTGTAGTGGTGTGTGTGTGTGTAGTGTTGTGTGTGTGTGTAGTGGTGTGTGTGTAGTGTAGTGTGTGTGTGTAGTGTTGTGTTGTGTGTGTAGTGGTGTGTGTGTGTAGTGTGTGTGTAGTGTTGTGTGTGTGTGTAGTGTGTGTGTGTGTAATGCTGTGTTGTGCGTGTAGTGGTGTGTGTAGTGTGTGTGTAGTGTTGTGTTGTGTGTGTGTAGTGTTGTGTGTGTGTGTAGTGTTGTGTTGTGTGTGTAGTGGTGTGTGTGTAGTGTGTGTGTAGTGTTGTGTGTGTGTAGTGTTGTGTTGTGTGTGTAGTGGTGTGTGTGTGTAGTGTAGTGTGTGTGTGTGTAGTGTTGTGTTGTGTGTGTAGTGGTGTGTGTGTGTAGTGTGTGTGTAGTGTTGTGTGTGTGTGTAGTGTAGTGTGTGTGTGTAGTGTTGTGTTGTGTGTGTAGTGGTGTGTGTGTGTGTGTAGTGTGTGTGTAGTGTTGTGTGTGTGTGTGTAGTGTTGTGTTGTGTGTAGTGGTGTGTGTGTGTAGTGTAGTGTTGTGTGTGTGTGTAGTGTTGTGTTGTGTGTGTAGTGGTGTGTGTGTGTGTGTAGTGGTGTGTGTGTGTGTGTAGTGTGTGTGTATTGTTGTGTGTGTGTAGTGTTGTGTGTGTGTGTAGTGTTGCGTGTGTGTGTAGTGTAGTGTGTGTAGTGTTGTGTTGTGTGTGGTGTTGTGTGTGTGTGTGTAGTGTTGTGTGTGTGTAGTGTTGTGTGTGTGTGTAGTGTAGTGTGTGTGTGTAGTGTTGTGTGTGTGTAGTGTTGTGTGTGTGTAGTGTTGTGTGTGTGTAGTGTAGTGTTGTGTGTGTAGTGTTGTGGTGTGTGTGTGTAGTGTAGTGTGTGTGTGTAGTGTTGTGTGTGTGTAGTGTTGTGTGTGTAGTGTTGTGTGTAGTGTTGTTGACGTGTGTGTGTGTAGTGTTGTGTGTGTGTGTAGTGTTGTGTGTGTAGTATAGTGTTGTGTGTGTGTGTAGTGTTGTGTGTGTGTGTGTAGTGTTGTGTGTGTGTGTAGTGTTCTTGATGTGTGTGTAGTGTTGTGTGTGTGTGTGTGTAGTGTTGTGTGTGTAGTGTTGTGTGTGTGTGTAGTGTTGTGTGTGTAGTATAGTGTTGTGTGTGTGTGTAGTGTTGTGTGTGTGTGTGTAGTGTTGTGTGTGTGTGTGTAGTGTTCTTGATGTGTGTGTAGTGTTGTGTGTGTGTGTGTGTGTAGTGTTGTGTGTGTGTGTAGTGTTGTGTGTGTAGTATAGTGTTGTGTGTGTAGTGTTGTGTGTGTGTGTAGTGTTGTGTGTGTGTGTAGTGTTCTTGATGTGTGTGTAGTGTTGTGTGTGTGTAGTGTTGTGTGTGTGTGTGTAGTGTTCTTGACGTGTGTGTGTGTAGTGTTGTGTGTGTGTGTAGTGTTGTTGATGACCGTAGGCAGTGCAGCACGGCTTCACCATCACCGTCATCACCATCACCGTCACCACCTCCATCACCACCATCACCACCACCGCCATCACCACCGTCACCATCACCACCACCAACACCGTCACCACCGTCACCACCTCCACCACCACCACCTCCACCACCAACACTGTTACCACCACCACCATCACCACCTCAATCACCAACGTCAACACCACCTTAATCACCACCGTCACCACCACAACCACCACCACAACCCAAATCACCACCGTCATCACCACCGTCACCATCACCACCACCACTGTCACCACCACCACCACCCCAATCACCACCACCACCGTCATCACCACCGTCACCACCACCACCACCACCACCACCCCAATCACCACCACCACCACTGTCACCACTACCACCACCACCCCAATCACCACCACCACCACCGTCATCACCACCGTCACCACCACCGTCACCTTAATCACCACCACCACCACGGTCACCACCACCACCATCACCACCACCGTCACCACCGTCACCACCACCACCATCATCACCACCACCTCCACCATCACCACCAACCACCACCATCACCACCACCACCACCACCGTCATCACCACGGTCACCACCACCACCGTCACCTTAATCACCACCACCACCACGGTCACCAGCACCACCACCACCACCACGGTCACCACCACCACCACGGTCACCACCACCACCATCGCCACCTCAATCACCACCTCCATCACCATCACCACCGTCACCTCCACAACCACCACCACCACAGCCCCAATCACCACCACAACCACCACCACCGTCACCTCCACAACCACCACTACGGTCACCATCACCTTCGGCGAGCTCCGCCCCGAACAGCAGCGCCCTGGCCCCTGACGCCCTGAGGCAGTGCAGCACGGCCTCCATCATCACCACCATCACCACCTCCATCACCACCACCACCTCCATCACCACCTCCATCACCACCTCCATCACCTCCACAACCACCACCACAGCCCCAATCACCACCACCACAACCACCACCACCACAGCCCCAATCACCACCACAACCACCACCACTGTCACCACCACAACCACCACCACCGTCACCACCACCACCACCACCAAGGTCACCACGTTCACCGTCACCTTCAGTGAGCTCCGCCCCGAACAGCAGCGCCCTGGCCCCTGACGCTCTGAGGCAGTGCAGCACGGCCTCCATCACCACCTCCATCACCTCCACAACCACCACCACCTCCATCACCACCACCATCACCACCACCACCACGGTCACCACGTTCACCGTCACCTTCGGTGAGCTCCGCCCCGAACAGCAGCGCCCTGGCCCCTGACGCTCTGAGGCAGTGCAGCACGGCCTCCATCACCACCACCGTCACCTCCACAACCACCACCACAGCCCCAATCACCTCCACAACCACCACCACCACCGTCACCACCACCACCACTGTCACCACCACCACGGTCACCACGTTCACCGTCACCTTCGGTGAGCTCAGCCCCGAACAGCAGCGCCCTGGCCCCTGACGCCCTGAGGCAGTGCAGTACGGCCTCCATCATCACCACCATCACCACCTCCATCACCACCATCACCACCTCCATCACCACCACCTCCATCACCACCACCGTCACCACCACCGTCACCACCTCCATCACCACCACCGTCACCTCCACAACCACCATCACAGCCCCAATCACCACCACAACCACCACCACCACCACCATCACCACCACCACCACCACCACGGTCACCACGTTCACCGTCACCTTCGGTGAGCTCCGCCCCGAACAGCAGCGCCCTGGCCCCTGACGCTCTGAGGCAGTGCAGCACGGCCTCCCCCCGCAGCGAGCAGTTGATGAGCGCCGCCTCGGCCCCGAGCCGGGCGGCCCCCAGCCAGGCGGCCACGAACCGCGGGCGGCCCTCCATGAAGAGGGCCACCACGTGGCCGGGCCGCACGCCGTGCTCCCACAGGACGTGGGCCACCGCGCTCACCTCGCCGTCCAGACGGGAAAACGTCCACCGCTCACCCGTGCCCTCGTAGATCAGAGCCACCTGCCGCCGTGGGGGGGAGGGGGGGTAAGGGGGGTGGTGGGTGGGGGGTGGTGGGTGGAGAGGGGTGGGGGGGTGGGGGGTGGTGGGTGGGGGGTGGGGGGGTGGAGAGGGGTGGGTGGGGGGGGTGGTGGGTGGGGGGTTAAAGCTACGATTGGCACAGTTGGCTAAGCACCGTGCAGAAGAAGTTCAAAGTACACACAATACACTGTACACTACACTGCACACTACACTGTACACTACAGACTACACTACACTGCAGACTACACTGTACACTGCACTGCACACTACACTGTACCCTACACTGCACACTACACTGTACACTACACTGTGCACTACACTGTACACTACACACTACACTGCAGACTACACTGGACACTGCACTGTACACTACACTACTATACACTACACTCTACACTATACACTACACTACACTCTACACTACACTCTACACTAAACAATACACTACTTTACACTACACTCTACACTACACTACACACTACACTACACACTACATTATACACTCTATACACTACACTACACTGTACACTACGCTATACACTACACTATACACTACGCTGTACACTACGCTGTACACTATACACTACACTATACACTATGCTGTACACTGCTATACACTACACTATACACTACACTATACACTACACACTACACTATACACTACTATACACTACACACTACACTACACACTACACTATACACTACACTACTATACACTACCCTATACACTACGTGTACACTACACTATACACTACGCTGTATACTACACTATACACTACACTATACACAACACTGTACACTGCACTGTACACTACACTATACACTACTATACACTACACTATACACTACACTGTACACTACACTATACACTACACAGTACACTACACTGTACACTACGCTGGAGACTACACTATACACTACACAATACACTACACTATATCACTCACGTAGTTACTCACTAACTCAGTCACTCACTGACTCACTGAGTCACTCACTCGGTCACTCACTCACTCACTCGGTCACTCAATCACTCACTCAGTCAGTAACTCACTCGCTTACTCACTCATTCACTCAGTCACTCACTCACTTAGTCAGTCACTCACTCACTCACTCGGTCACTCACTCACTCGGTGGCTTACTAACTCAGTCACTCACTCACTTGGTTAATTGGTCAATCACTCGCTCGGTCACTCACTCACTCGCTCAGTCACTCAGTCACTCGCTCAGTCACTCGCTCGGTCACTCGCTCACTCAGTCACTCACTCACTCGGTCACTCACTCACTCATCCACTCACTCAGTCACTCACTCAGTCACTCACTCACTCAGTGGCTTACTAACTCACTCACTCAGTGACTCGCTCACTTGCTTACACGGTCACTCACTCACTCAGTCACTCACTCACTCGGGCACTCACTCACTCAGTCACTCACTCAGTCATTCACTCACTCGGTCACTCACTCAATCGGTCAGTCACTCACTCACTCGGTCACTCACTCACTCACCCGCTCACTCACTCACTCGGTCACTCACTCACTCAGTCACTCACTCACTCAGTCACTCACTCACTCACTCATTCACCCGGTCACTCAGTCACTCACTCACCCACTCACTCGGTCACTCACTCGGTCACTCACTCACCCACTCACCCGGTCACTCACTCACTCAGTCACTCAGTCACTCACCCGCTCACTCACTCACTCACCCGGTCACTCACTCACTCAGTCACTCGCTCACCCGGTCACTCACTCACTGGTTGCCCGCGGTAACCCACCTTGTCAGGGTGACGGCGCACCACCTCCTGGAAGACGACGGGGACGGTGTCGTTCCTTCTCATCAGCCGCCTCACCGCCAGTTTGGTGCGGACCAACACGGTGACGCCGCTGGGCACACCGAGACACGCCGGAGGGCACGCCACCGTGAATCACCACGACCGCCCCTTCCCCACTGGAACACCCCCAAGCCGTGCCGGCCTCAGTGTCTTTTTCCACTGCCACTCACCCGTGCCGTGCCGGCCTGAGTGTCTTTTTCCACTGCCACTCACCCATGCAGTGCCAGCCTGAGTGTTTTTTTTCCACTGGCACTCACCCGTGCCGTGCCGTGCCGGCCTGAGTGTTTTTTTTTCCCACTGACACTCACCCGTGCCGTGCCAGCCTCAGTGTCTTTTTCCACTGCCACTCACCCGTGCCGTGCCGGCCTCAGTGTCTTTTTCCACTGACACTCACCCGTGCCGTGCCAGCCTGAGTGTTTTTTTTCCACTGGCACTCACCCGTGCCGTGCCGGCCTGAGTGTCTTTTTCCACTGACACTTACCCGTGCCGTGCCAGCCTGAGTGTTTTTTTTCCACTGGCACTCACCCGTGCCGTGCCGGCCTGAGTGTCTTTTTCCACTGACACTCACCCGTGCCGTGCCAGCCTGAGTGTTTTTTTTCCACTGCCACTCACCCGTGCCGTGTCAGCCTGAGTGTTTTTTCCACTGGCACTCACCCGTGCCGTGCCAGCCTGAGTGTTTTTTTTTTCCACTGGCACTCACCCGTGCCGTGCCAGCCTGAGTGTTTTTTTCCACTGACACTCACCCGTGCCGTGTCGGCGTGAGTGTTTTTTCCACTGACACTCACCCGTGCCGTGTCAGCCTGAGTGTTTTTTCCACTGGCACTCACCCGTGCCGTGCCAGCCTGAGTGTTTTTTTTTCCACTGGCACTCACCCGTGCCGTGCCGTGCCGGCCTGAGTGTTTTTTTTCCCACTGACACTCACCCGTGCCGTGCCAGCTTGAGTGTTTTTTTCCACTGCCACTCACCCGTGCCGTGCCAGCCTGAGTGTTTTTTTCCACTGGCACTCACCCGTGCTGTGCCAGCCTGAGTGTCTTTTTCCACTGCCACTCACCCGTGCCGTGCCGGCCTCAGTGTCTTTTTCCACTGACACTCACCCGTGCCGTGCCAGCCTGAGTGTTTTTTTTCCACTGCCACTCACCCGTGCCGTGCCGGCCTGAGTGTCTTTTTCCACTGACACTCACCCGTGCCGTGCCAGCCTGAGTGTTTTTTTTCCACTGCCACTCACCCGTGCCGTGTCAGCCTGAGTGTTTTTTCCACTGGCACTCACCCGTGCCGTGCCAGCCTGAGTGTTTTTTTTCCACTGGCACTCACCCGTGCTGTGCAAGTGTGAGTGTTTTTTTCCACTGACACTCACCCGTGCCGTGCCAGCCTGAGTGTTTTTTTTCCACTGACACTCACCCGTGCCGTGCCAGCCTGAGTGTTTTTTTTCCACTGACACTCACCCGTGCCATGCCAGCCTGAGTGGTTTTTTTCCACTGACACTCACCCGTGCCGTGCCAGCCTGAGTGTTTTTTTCCACTGACACTCACCCGTGCCGTGTCTGGCGTGAGTGTTTTTCCACTGGCACTCACCCGTGCCGTGCCAGCCTGAGTGTTTTTTCCACTGACACTCACCCGTGCCGTGCCAGCCTGAGTGTTTTTTTCCACTGGCACTCACCCGTGCTGTGCCAGCCTGAGTGTTTTTTTCCACTGGCACTCACCCGTGCTGTGCCAGCCTGAGTGTCTTTTTCCACTGCCACTCACCCGTGCCGTGCCGGCCTCAGTGTCTTTTTCCACTGACACTCACCCGTGCCGTGCCAGCCTGAGTGTTTTTTTTCCACTGCCACTCACCCGTGCCGTGCCGGCCTGAGTGTCTTTTTCCACTGACACTCACCCGTGCCGTGCCAGCCTGAGTGTTTTTTTTCCACTGCCACTCACCCGTGCCGTGTCAGCCTGAGTGTTTTTTCCACTGGCACTCACCCGTGCCGTGCCAGCCTGAGTGTTTTTTTTCCACTGGCACTCACCCGTGCTGTGCAAGTGTGAGTGTTTTTTTCCACTGACACTCACCCGTGCCATGCCAGCCTGAGTGGTTTTTTTCCACTGACACTCACCCGTGCCGTGCCAGCCTGAGTGTTTTTTTTCCACTGACACTCACCCGTGCCATGCCAGCCTGAGTGGTTTTTTTCCACTGACACTCACCCGTGCCGTGTCTGGCGTGAGTGTTTTTCCACTGGCACTCACCCGTGCCGTGCCAGCCTGAGTGTTTTTTCCACTGACACTCACCCGTGCCGTGCCAGCCTGAGTGTTTTTTCCACTGCCACTCACCCGTGCCGTGCCAGCCTGAGTGTTTTTTTCCACTGGCACTCACCCGTGCCGTGCCAGCCTGAGAGTTTTTTTCCACTGACACTCACCCGTGCCGTGCCAGCCTGAGTGTTTTTTCCACTGGCACTCACCCGTGCCGTGCCAGCCTGAGTGTTTTTTCCACTGCCACTCACCCGTGCCGTGCCAGCCTGAGTGTCTTTTTCCACTGCCACTCACCCGTGCCGTGCCAGCCTGAGTGTTTTTTCCACTGGCACTCACCCGTGCCATGCCGGCCTGAGTGTTTTTTTCCACTGCCACTCACCCGTGCCATGCCAGCCTGAGTGTTTTTTCCACTGACACTCACCCGTGCCGTGCCAGCCTGAGTGTTTTTCCACTGGCACTCACCCGTGCCGTGCCGGCCTGAGTGTTTTTTTTTCCACTGGCACTCACCCGTGCCGTGCCGGCGTGAGTGTTTTTGCCACTCACCCGTGCCGTGCCAGCGCATGACACTCCCATTCCGATGATGCACGTACGCGTACGCATGTCATCGGAATGGGAGAGGGATTAAAAGTGTCCACCCTCGGGCACTGCTGGGTTTATATCGGGCGTCAGGCACGCACATTTGAGGCCAAGTCGAACTAGATGTCAACCGTGGCCAAGAATCGGACCCGGGTTGCCGGGTGTGAGCAGAGCAGTACGCTAACCGCCGTGGCACCATTAATAACCCCGCGTGTCCTGCCTCTTGGCGTACTCTGTATATTATAATAAAAACCCTATATGTCCTGACCTTTGGGACACACTGTATATTATAATAACCCTAGATGTTCTAACCTTTGGGCGATCCCATATATCATAATAACCCTGGATGTCCTGACCTTTGGACCACACTGTATATTATAATAAAAACCCTAGATGTCCTGACCTTTGGGCCACACTGTATATTATAATAAAAACCCTAGATGTCCTGACCTTTGGGCCACACTGTATATTATAATAACCCTGGATGTCCTGACCTTTGGGCCACCCTGTATATTATAATAACCCTAGATGTCCTGACCTTTGGGCCACCCTGTATATTATAATAAAAACCCTATATGTCCTGACCTTTGGGACACACTGTATATTATAACCCTAGATGTCCTGACCTTTGGGCCACCCTGTATATTATAATAACCCTAGATGTCCTGACCTTTGGGCCACCCTGTATATTATAATAACCCTGGATGTCCTGACCTTTGGGCCACCCTGTATATTATAATAACCCTAGATGTCCTGACCTTTGGGTCACCCTGTATATTATAATAACCTTAGATGTCCTGACCTTTGGGCCACCCTGTATATTATAATAACCCTGGATGTCCTGACCTTTGGGACACAGTATATTATAACCCTAGATGTTCTAACCTTTAGGCGATCCCATATATCATAATAACCCTGGATGTCCTGACCTTTGGACCACACTGTATATTATAATAACCCTGGATGCCCTGACCTTTGGGCCACCCTGTATATTATAATAACCCTAGATGTCCTAACCTTTGGGCCACACTGTATATTATAATAACCCTGGATGCCCTGACCTTTGGGCCACCCTGTATATTATAATAACCCTGTGTCCTGACCTTTGGGCCACACTGTATATTATAATAACCCTAGATGTCCTGACCTTTGGCCACCCTGTATATTATAATAACCCTAGATGTCCTGAACTTTTGGCCACACTGTATATTATAATAACCCTGGATGTCCTGACCTTTGGGCCACCCTGTATATTATAATAACCCTAGATGTCCTGACCTTTGGGCCACACTGTATATTATAATAACCCTAGATGTCCTGACCTTTGGGCCACACTGTATATTATAATAACCCTGGATGCCCTGACCTTTGGGCCACTCTGTATATTATAATAACCCTAGATGTCCTGACCTTTGGGCCACCCTGTATATGATAATAACCCTAGATGTCCTGACCTTTGGGCCACCCTGTATATTATAATAACCCTGGATGTCCTGACCTTTGGGACACACTGTATATTATAACCCTAGATATCCTGACCTTTGGGCCACCCTGTATATTATAATAACCCTGGATGCCCTGACCTTTGGGCCACACTGTATATTATAATAACCCTAGATGTCCTGACCTTTGGGCGACACTGTATATAATAACCCTGGATGTCCTGACCTTTGGGCCACCCTGTATATTATAATAACCCAAGATGTCCTGACCTTTGGGCGACACTGTATATAATAACCCTGGATGTCCTGACCTTTGGGCCACACTGTATATTATAATAACCCTAGATGTCCTGACTGTTGGGCCACACTGTATATTATAATAACCCTGGATGTCCTGACCTTTGGGCCACACTGTATATTATAATAACCCTGGATGTCCTGACCTTTCGGCCACACTGTATATTATAATAACCCTAGATGTCCTGACCTTTGGGCCACACTGTATATTATAATAACCCTAGATGTCCTAATCTTTGGGCCACACTGTATATTATAACCCTGGATGTCCTGACCTTTGGGCCACCCTGTATATTATAATAACCCTAGATGTCGTAACCTTTGGGCTACCCTGTATATTAAAACCCTAGATGCCCTGACCTTTGGGCCACCCTGTATATTATAATAACCCTGTGTGTCCTGACCTTTGGGCCACACTGTATATTATAATAACCCTACGTGTCCTGACCTTTCGGCAACACTGTATATTATAATAACCCTAGATGTCCTGACCTTTGGCCCACACTGTATATTAT